CCCCCCCCCCCCCCCGGCCGTGGGGTTGGAGCACGGGCGCCTCGCCTGCAGGCCTTGCGGGGACGGCCATCTGCTGGACGCTCCAGGCCCAGGGCCTGTGACCCTCGGCCGGGCCTCCCATCCCCAGAGCCGTCCGTGCCAGACGGAGTCTCCCTCGTGACACTGCCCTGTGCCCCCAGTAGCGTCGCTGCCTGGTGTCCGTGTTCTCTGTGACCTTTGTGTGCTGTGTCTGTGTTGTGGGCTGGGCGAGCCGGGCCCGGCACGGAGAGTCTGTAACTTCTTTATTTGAAAATACAAACGTGATCTCGTAAAACGTTTTTAAATCGCTATACACACCAAATAAAAGTTAACTTTACACGTTTTGTACACGTACATGAAAACGTAAGTACGCTCGAGGGAGCGCACCCTCCCACACCCTGCACGGAGGGTCGTGGCCCGGGCCGTGCCCGGAGACGCTCGTGCAGACGAGACGGAAGGTCCCGGGGCTTCTGGAATGTTCCCGACCGACTCCGTGAGAACACGGGGCCACCCGGCACCCAGAAGTCCGCACACGGCCGGCGACCCCGAGGCAGCTCCTTTGGAGGGGAGCCGTCGGCCAGGCCGCCTAAGTGTCCACACGCCTGAACTCGACGGCTAGCGGGGCCTGCCAGCCAGGGGTTCTTGCACGGGGGTCGGCCCCTCCTGGCCAGGCGGGGACAGGAGCTCCATGACCACGTGACCCGCTTCGTGTCGAATAAAAATTCGTCATCTCCTACAAATCACTTCACTTTCTATAAAAGACAGCTCAACATCAAACAGCCTTGACTTTTACACACAAGCTGCCTCGCGTCCAGCCGGCTGGCCCGGACCCCCGGCCGCGGGCGCACATCACGAGGGCTGTAGGTCGGCGTCGTCGCACGCGTACTCGTACAGGTCGACGGTGCCCAGGGCCGAGGGCGCCTCGAAGAAGGGCCTCTGGGCCAGCGGAGACCTCAGGACGCTCAGCTTCTGGTCCACGGGACTGAGCTCGGCTTCGTACCTGCAAAGCAGGGACTCGTGAGTGTGCTGGGGCGCGGCCGAGGCGGGCGGCCCCCACGAGCCCCCACGTGGGCCGAGCTGTGGAAGGCCCTCCGCGAAGTGCCCGTGGCCACGGGCCGTGGGTGCCAAGGCCACCTGGCGGAACTCGGCGTTGGGTCTGGACGGATGCCGCGACCCCTGGTCGGGATGACCCATCTGCACGAAGGGCTGGGGACAGGGCAGGGACGCGTGCCAACTTGCGGTCGGCGTCGTAGCCGACGTTCTAGGCCGTGCGGTGGGCCGGTGGAGAGGAGATCGAAGCGTGCTGCTCCAGGCCACGTGCCTGTCGGGGCAGAGGTCCCCGCCGACCCACGACACGCTTACGCGGCCGCCGGGTACGGTTACCACAAGAGGCAAGTGCAAGCTCGGTAAGCCCCACGGGGGTCGCCAGCAACGCGCAGCGGTATGCTGCAAGTTTCGAACCTCCTCAGGGCACCGGGGTGCCTCAGTCCGCTAAGTGTGTGACTCTCGACTTGGGCTCGGCTCACCATCTCACAGTTCGTGGGTTCGAGCCATGCGTCGCGCTCTGTGCTGACAGCCGGGAGCCTGCTTGGGATGCTCTCTCTCTGCCCCTGCCTTGCTCATGCTCCCGCGCTCTCTCTCAAGAGTAAATCTTAAAACCCCACCTTCCCGACACCCCAACATCAGGAAGCCCTTCTGTGACAGAAGGCGAGAAGATCCACGTGCTGAAAACCACAAAATACTTCCCGGCAGAAGAGTCAGAGACCCAACTTGGCAGACAGCGTGCACGTCTGCGTATCAGGGAGCGCGGCGTCGCGGAGAGGCCCAACACCTCCACGCCGGGTGAGATTCTCAAACACGAGTCATCGAGGCTTCCGTCTGTTTTGTGACAGCACACCTGCACGAGGCCGGTGGCAACGGTTCATGTCGGCCCGGAACCGAGGGGAAGCCACCCAATGTGGGTCACCTGGTGGGGGGTCGCCCGCGGCACAGAAGGGGCCCCCCCCATGAGCCCGGTGAACGGCACGGCTCTGCCACACCTTGGGCCCGCAGAGGCGGTGTGGAGGGACGTGGGGGTGCGCTTCCGTGACGGCCCGGAAACGCACGACGGCCGAAGGCCAGCACCTGCCAGGGGCCCAAGTGGGGAGGGGTTTGGGGGTGACGCACGCCCTGCTGGATCTCAAACTCTCTTGGGAGTGGGGGTCAGGACCCTGGCGGCCCTGTGGCCGCCGAACGGGGGTTGGGGGGTGCCTCTCCTACGCGGCCCCGCTCCTGACCCCGTGTGACCCTGACCCGGGGGCCAGGCGGCCCTGAGGGGGCAGGGGGCGGGTGGGTGAAGAGCCCTGACGGGAGCAGAGAACCCGTGTGCCGCCTGAGCCTGTCTGGTGCCTGTGTGGAGGCTGGGATGCCTGAGCCCCCCACCGTCTGCACCCTGCGCGCCCAGCCACGCTTGTGGGAGCAGATGCCCCGCTGATGCCACACGCGGTCGGCCCCGGGTGAGAGGGCGTCCATCTGCACCTGGGCCCCCATGCCCCTGTCCCCCCACGGGCCTCGGGTGCAGACACCAAAGACGAGATTCCCCACTGCGGTGGCCCCGTGAAGGTGTGTTGGGTCCCAGCTTCTGAGCTGGCCTCTCGGACCCCAGCCCCGCAGTGCGTCCGCCCTGCCAGGCTCCTCGGGGAGCCCCCCACCCGGATCACTGCCTGGGCCCCCGTTCAGCGTGGTGGGGGAGGGGGACGGCTCGGCAGGTCACGTCCTGGGGAGCACGCAGCACGTCGGGGTGGGTGTGGGGGACAGAAGGGGACAGATCGTGCCCTGGGCGGCAGGCCTCATGCGGCCCCGCTGCAGGGCCCGCTCTGGGCCGACCTGGCTGCCGCTCGCGGGTCCCAGCCCGAGGGGACAGGAGGCAGCACTGAGGGGCTGTTTCCGGGGAGGGGGCGGGCCGGGCGGGTGGGCACTCGCTCCCGGGTCCCCGCGTGGCCACAGAGCCTGGGGAAGGGGCCTCGCGGTGGAGCTCTGCCGGGGCGGGGTTTGTGTCCGGGCCGCCCGGCGAGCGCGAGTTCCCTTTCGGGTTCGGGACACCCGCAGCTGCCTTTCCCTGCCCACGGGGTCCCTTCTCGTGGGGGCAGACACTCGTCACATGGATGTCACAGGCCCCACCGGAGCCAGGGGGCGGCCCCCGGGAGTCGCCGGCTCTGGACGGAGCCCGTCCGGGGTCGGGCACGTGTGGTTTGAAAGGAGGCGCCCGCCGGCCTCTCGGCACCCGCGTCCGCCTGGCTGTCCCCGCGTGCACACTCACTCACCCGTCCTCCCACGGCTCTCCCGCAGCCTCCTCGGCCACCAAGATGTCGTACTCCTCAGCCGCGTACTTCTCCCAGTCGGAGAGCTCGGGGCCCTCGCTCTCACTCTCCTGGATGAGACACGGGCGTCACGTGGCGCGGACGAGGCCGGCACCCCACACGCTCCCTGCCACGCCTGCCACGCTCACCCTGAACAGGGACACCTGTTCCTTCTGCTCATGGTCGAGGTATTTCTCGATGTTGAAGAAGGTGTCAAAGAACACGTTGGCCAGTTTGCAGTTTTTCAGATCGTGGAGCGTGATTTTCCCTGTGGGACATG